CTTGAATGTAACATTTTGGGAGTTACTCAGCTGAAAATTGGGGTTGAATGGGATGTCTCTATCTAACTATAAGTTCTGTTTATATTTGACTTTGAACTTTCCGATGAGACTATGTAGCCTAGTCCTTTCAAATACCATAATCTATATACTTTAAAAAGCAAGGGCAAAATATAATAAAAGCAACTAACCTTAACCAAACTTTGTGTGCATACACATGCACATCTACATAGGCACATATACGAATATGCATACATTTTATTCTTTATTTAGAAATAAGGGCATACTGGACTAAAGTTAAAAGATTTTCTTTAAAAATTTATCTAAATGTAATCAATAAAATACTCTAAATGAAACAAGTGCCTACTCTATTCCTATGTCACTATAAATGCAACTTAGCAAGTTATCAGGTAACTATGATTTTTCCATTAAGTAAATACAACCTTATAGAAAGGTTAATCTTCTTGGACTCAATTTCCTCTGGAATTTCAAAATCATTCCATCGGCCCTTAGCATGTACTAAATCTAAAAGAATCATTAATTTTCCCTAATCCCATACATATATAGTTTGTTGACCATTTATAACCTAAACTATTTGGTATTTTTTATAGGTCATTAAGCTATACCTCCCTCCCTCTTATATCATTTGATGACTACTCAGAACATAAAGATAAAATCCAAACTCCTATATAAGGTCTTCAAGTTATTCATTCTAAGTCATTTTACAATTCAAACCATCTGCTGCTGCCCAAATGTGTCCATGTGGCCAAACACATAGAAATTGTGATTCCCTAGCACACCTGAGAAACTGTAGACAGTCCCCGTTTCTCCTGCTTGTCTCACCTACCCTCTACTACTTCCCATTAATGTTGCATTAATTCCTCACCCTGCAAGAAATGAGACAATAGGACAAACCTCTTCTCTATTTCCAGATTCTTCTGGGAAACTCCTCCACCACTTCCCTCAGCACCATGCATGCTCTATCTAATGTCTGTAGAGTTTGTAAGTGACTTACCTCACCAATCTATACCTCTCTCCCTTTAGTGTAAGTACTTCAAAAACCAAGGGCTGTTACTAATATCACCAACATCTCACATTCCTTGGCACAAATTAGGCAATTAAAATATAATGAATTAAAAGGATAATGAATAATAGAAGAGGTTTTCTTTCTCAAAATAACCAAAGCCAACATTTTTATTACTTAGCTAACTTTCATTCTTAATGGTGACATGCAGAAGTAAGGATGTTTCTAGATTCATTATTATAGCACTTACCACTCCATCTATTGCCATGTAAAGAAGTCTTCTTGGTCTTACAATATTGAAAAGTCTGTCAATGTACTCAAAAATCGCAACCATCATTTCATCTTCATTTTTTGGTGCTGGTCTATAATTATAAGCAAACAATGTAAAACAACAGAGTACTTCTGGTACTTGTGATATCACTGAGAAAAATGGGTACATACTTGTCTTCAGGATGAGTACAGGGATGGATGATTCCATTCATGTCCAAATACAGATTATCAAACTCTACATCATTGGGATTAGGTTTACTGGCATCCACTGGAAGCTTTACACCATTACATTCTTTTGGCTATAAAGAAGAGATAATAATAGTTT